AACGGTTAGGGACAATCAGGTAGGCGGGCAGGTGAGCTGTTAGGAGCCAGTGGTCCCAGATAGTGAGAAGGATGTCCAACTGCCAGTTTAGGTCCAATCCCTGTGATATTGGGCCTAAACTGTCAGTCAGACATCCCTCAAAGAGTCCCAGATTGGAGAGGGTGCAGGCCAGGCTGAGGGACAACCTCCCTGTGCATGAATTTCATGCACCGGGCCTCTAGTTCATAGATAAAACATATGATTAAGTTTACCTGTTTCATTGTTAAACATGTAGCTATTTGAAAACTTTGACATTACATATGTGGTTTGCATTTGTAGCTCACAGTATATTTCCATTGGACAATACTGATCTACAACATGTATGAGACTCTCATATAAATTAGCAAAATGAAATCTTTTTATTTAGGCTTTTATTCCGTGTTTTAAAACATGGAATCCATCTCCTTGACAGTTTGCCTTCTGAGGCTGGTCAATTTATGTGTAATGTGCTGAAGGGCTGATCTCCCACACATCCTACCATACAGGTGTGAAGTTTGAATTCAAACTGAGGAAGACTGCTGGTGGCGTGGGATTCCGTTTTGTGCAGATGGAGAGAGAGCTGCAGCCACTTCAATAATGATCTTGTGAGGAATAAGCGGCTCTTCCCAGGGCAGCCAGCTGAGGAGAGCAGCCATCGCAGCTGGTGGCATTATCCTGGCTGCAAATGGAAAGCCCACAGACGGCTCCTCTTCCAGGTGGGAGGCCATGAAGGCTGCAGCCTGAGTGCCTGCTGGTGTTGGCCTTGCTCTCCCAGGCCCACACACTGTGAGGGATGCTCTCGGCTCCTGTCAATCAGCCCTGGTGCCTGCATTGTGATCACCTAAAGAGAGCAGTCTGCAGAACATTCTCACATTTAATTTTTCATCTTAGTTTTTAAATATCTAACCTTGACTCAGCCTTGCTTTAATTAGGCTCATAATAAAATGGAGGATAAACCTTGACTTTTGTGTTGTCTAAAGGTGTAACACATTCTGGGAGGTGAGTGTGAGGGCTGAAGGGACTCCAGTGGGTCCCTTTTCTACTCCCCCACTTTTCTACTAAATTTACAGCTTTTGATGCATAGTGTTGCATTGTTTATCCTGTATCATCAAAAATCCTATATAATAAAAGCCTAATATGCTAAGTGTCTGGTTGGCCATTCAACCAATCAAAGTGTAATATGCTAATGATATTCTAAGGATGCTCAACCGCTCACTATGATGTGCACTGACTACCAGGAGGCAGACAACCAGTCAACCAGTTGCTATGATGTACACTGACCACCAGGGGAGAAGATGCTCTGACTGGTAGGTGAGCTTGCTGCTGGGGTTCGGCTGATTGGGACTGAGTGAGATGGGCCGGACACTCCCTGGGACCCTGCCCATGTTCCCTCCCTGGCCCTGATCATACACTGGTGGGGTCCCTCGGCCTGGTCTGGGCTCTCTCACAATCCAGTATTCCTTAGGGACTGTCAGAGAGCTGGTTTCTCAGCCTGATCCCACAGGCCAGGCTGAGGGACTCCACTAGTGCATGAATTCATGCACTGGACCTCTAGTGTAATTTATGAAAGACAGTGAAAAGTGGATGCTTTTCAATGCTTATAGCACAAAATCTCTATGGAATACTGTACATATCAGTCAGGGTCCTGGCAAAAAATTGAGTCATTTGAGGAGAGTTTAATAAGGTGTGGGCAAGGGAAATAATGGAGTCCTGGGGCTAGGAACCTGGGTGCAGTGATCCACTCCCCCAAGTCCAAAGGGACATGGGAAGGAGCAATTACCATACCCCAGAAGCTGAGAGAGCTGGATGGAGTGAGCTCACTGAAATGAGCTGTGACACGAACTGAGGGATGCAGTCTCCCGTGACTACCCCATGGGGAGGGAGATAGGCCCACACACACGTGCTCGCACACATACACACACATGCACTACCCAGCTTCCCTCTCCTCCCACCCTGCAGCCCTCACAGACATGCCCCCAGAGCACAGGGCATGCTGACAAAGCCAGAGAAGGGCCTGGGGTGGGTGAAGAGGGGCCCGGGTAGGTAGGGAGGGCGGAGAGTCCCCAGGACAGTGTATGTATGGGTGGTGATGCCTATCCATCGGCTTCGGATCTCAGAACCGTCCTCTAGAAACTGGGGCAATAGCCCAGGTGAGAGGTTCCGAGGGCCAAGCTGAGTGTTGGCTGGTGATGCTGAGAGGGGGCCTTGGGAGGGAAGGAGATTGAGACAGCAACAGCCACTTGCTTGAGCCACTGTGTCCCTGAAGAGAAGGCATCATCATTGGTGCACTCCCTTGGGGGAGCTCAGGCTCTGCCTTGCCTCCACCCACTCTGGGAAATCAGCCCCAGTGGCCTTCTCCAGTTTTCGGAACTGAGGAGCTTATCCAGGTGGGATGGAGAGCGGCACCAGGGCGGTGGTGGAGAGCTCAGAGGAGACCACGGCCATCCAGCCTGGCACCTAGCTCTTTGCCTCCTGTAGGCGGTGCTCCATTTACTGCGAGGGGCCTCTTAGAAGTCACACTCCTGCTTTGCGGACCCCTCCGGGGGTCTTGCCTGAGATAGACCAGGGCTGGCAGGCAAGATGTGGTGCCCTTGCCCTCTCCATAGGCCTCATGTCAGGCACTCTGTTTCCTGGCCGGTGCGTTTGAGAAGCCCAGCTTTGCCTTAGGTAGTGTTCGATGTAACCTTCTCACTGGGGCCGGAACACAGCTGGCCCCCAAACCTCCATTGGTTGAAACAAGTTCCTGAGGTCTTATCTCTGCCATTTCCCTCCCCTCCCTGCTTCTGCCTCTCCTGACGTTTGAATCACCCTGCACATGGTCACATGTGCAGATCTTGGCCATGAATGCGCTAGAGCCAGGCTCCCCGGCAGCCCAGGCTGATTGCGGGAAAACTGGAAACAAGAGGAGTAGATGTGAAACCAGACTGTCCATGCTGAGGAGTGGAATGGGGAACAGAATGTCCATCCGCCCTCCTAAAGCATGACTTCCACCTGTGGTCCAGGGAAAAGAAAGGCATTGGGATCAGGGAAATTCAGAAGTTTTACTTGATGCCTGTGTTAGGTTCTCTAGAGAAACAGAACCATTAAGATGTGTATGTGTGCAGGTATATATGTGTGCCAATAGCAAGTGCATTTATACCAAGGAGGGAGAGAGGGAGTGAGTAGGGAAGAGAGAGGGAAGGGGTGGGAAGGGGAGGAGAGAGTAGTAAAGAGAAATTTGAAGGAATTGTCGGGGCTGGCTAGTCTCATTCTGCAGGACATGTGGGCAGTCTAGGGGCAGTGTTCATTCTTTCTTGAAGATCTCAGCCTTTTTCTCTTAAAACCTACAAGTGATTGATGAGGCCTGAGGGCAATCTGCTTTACTCACAGTCTACTGTTTTAAACATTAATGTCATCTGAAAAATACCTTCACAGAAACATCTAGACTAAAGTTTGACCAAATACGGGATACTGTGGCTTGGTCAAGTTAGCACTTAACATTAACCATCACAGTGCTGCGTGTTGGGTGCCTGGGACACAGACTCCGCAGCAGAGATGTGCTGCTCCCGGAAGGATGCAGGAGGCCGGGGGTGGGGGTGGGGGGAAGAATGGTGGGAAAGGATTGTGGTGCAGCTGCAACAGGGGCCTTGGCTGACCCCACAGAGATCTCTGGAGCTGGGAGGGCCTCTTGGAGCTGTCCTTAAGAGGGGCAAGAGAGCCCATGCCTTTCATGAGCAGCAACTGGCTCTGGGGCATGGCTGCCCCAAGGGAGGGACCTGCCTCTGACTTTGGCTGAGGAAGCTCCCTTGAGCGGCAGAAGGGGCTAGCTGAGCGCCATCAGCAGCCGGCACTCGTAGCAGCTGGCGGAGAGGACCTTGGTCCTGGATGGTCTGTGTGGACACCCTGGAATCTCCCGCACCTGCTCTGCACTCGCTCACTGCATGGGCCTTGGGCAATTGCCTAACTTCTCTAGGGCCCATGATTCCTCATACAAAACAAGGATTAAAACGATCACTTATCATCATTGAAGGTGACGGTCACTAAAGACAGCACATGGGACTTGGTGACTCAGATCCTCTTGATGCTCAGACTCCAACAGGTTGTTTGATACTAACTTTGGTGGGAAAAGAGCTATGGAAAGGAAATAAGAAAGTTGCCAAATTAGAAAAAAGCTTAGCAGAAAGCAATTGTATTATACATCTGAACAGGGTGAGAGAGGATCAAGTTTTGCACACACAAAGGTCAGGCCGAGGGGGTTTGTACCATGGGGTTTTGTTGAGATACCTAGGAAGTGCCAGGGGAAAAGTTGTCTTTCTGTCCTTGAGAATAGTTCCCCCCAGGAGAACCCAGCAGAGCATGGAGGGATGGCTTGGGGTAAGGTATGGTGGGGCATGCTTTCTTTCTCCTGCCTGGGGCCACATGCAGAGGAATTTTAATTCATTTGTGTGACTCCAGAGGTCAGATTGAAGATCAAGAAAGGGAACATTGAATTCATAGCTAGAATAAAGTAATTATGAAAAGAGGCAGCTGTACAAACATTTTGAGTAAGGTTATTCCAGGCAGAAAGAATATCAAGTGCAAAGGCTCTGGGACAGGAATGACCTGGATGTTTGAGGGACAAAAGGTAACAGTTGGTGTCTGGACTGGAGATAATGAAGGGGAGAACGGAAAGAGATGTGTAGAGGCCGTTGGGCCAATTGTAGGTTTTGGAAATGTGCTGAGTCCACACTGTCTGCAATGGTGCCAGGTCTGGAGGTAGGAGAAATGAGCCTAGCCTCATCTGGTCTGTGCTCTAGGAAGACCCCTCAGGTTGCTGGTGGGAATGGACTGCAGGAGGTAAGGCAGCAGTCATTCAGGGAAGATATTACTGTGGCTTGGACTCAGGTGGAAGCCGAATAGTTGGTAAGAAGTAGTGAGGTTTGGAAAAGGTTTGGGAGGTAGAGCCCATAGGATTACTTTTCCATTAGATCTCGGGATGAGGAAAGAAAACAAAGTTTGGCTTGAGAAACTGGATGAATGGTGAACACTTTCCAAGATGGGGTGCTCATATGGAGCAGTTTACATGAGAAGCAGCAATAGTTGTTGATAGCACTAAAGGGAAAGGTCCATGGAACAGCCAAGTGGACATGCCTATTAGGCAGTTATTTGTGGAGAATTGGCATGAGGTCAGGGCTGGAAAAAGTGGATTTGGGAATTTTCAGCAAACAATGCCATTTAAAGCCATGACATGGATGATACCACCTTCGAAAAGATATAGAAAAAGTCAAGAAAAGGGCTGAAAAGTAGGCCATGGGCCACTCCATCAGTGAGAGGTCTGGTTCAAAGAAATGAGACAGCAAATGGGACTGAGAGGAGGTGGCCTGGAAGGTGGTAGGAAAGCCAGGTAAGGATAGAGTTCAGGGTCAACTTGACATTTAACTAGAGTAAATGAGTGAGAGGCCAATAATGTTGACTATTGCTGAGCAGTAGAGTGAGATGAGGACAGAGAGTTGTCCTTTAGCTTTAGAAAGGACTGTTTGAACCCTGATGAGAGCAATTTCAGGTGGGGACTGAATAATGGGGACAGAAACCTGGTTAGTGGGGATGCAAGGGAGAAGGTCCAGAAATAGTACGTACAGGTACTCACTTGAAGAGCATAGAGTCAAGGTGGCTGGAGGATGAGAAGCAATTTAGAGAATAGAGACTCAGCACCTTTGCAGGTAATTAGTAAGCTGTATGCCCTTCATTGCTAGAAATTCCAACCTAGCAGTCAATAACTGCTCAACTAGGCCCAGCACGCCCTCGGCATTTGGAGGGGAGGAAAAATCCAGAGAAGCAGAAGATCTGGAGCCCCTGTAACCACAGTGTTGGAGCTTTCAGGAAAGCCAGCCTCACCTACTGGTACTCTGGGGGCTAGAGATGGCAGGCCTGGGGCTCTTCGCAGCTCACAGCTCTGTCCTGCCTCTCTGTGGCCTCTGGAAGAACTGTGGTAAAGAATTCCCTCCTATAGGAATTCCCCCCTATGTGCATCATCATTACTATGCTAATACAATGCTTCACAATCAACGTTTCTTAAGAAAATAGATCTACATTTTCAATCTGGACTGAAACATTCATTTCAATAGCCCTTTTAAACTTAGTTTTATTTTTGTGCCCATCCACTCCTAGGTATTTCCAGGTTTCAGTCCTGGTCCTGGCCTGATGGATAACATACTATTGCATTCAGTTTGACAGTATTTATTACAGATACCCAAGATCCACGGAGACATCTTATGGGCAGAGAGACAGTACAAATACTGAGAAAGGGTGGAGTATTGTGCCTAGGCGTGTGTGAGAGAGAAGCATGTGTACAGACAGACAGTAATGAGGAAGGATGTTTTTTGTTGGAACCATGCAAACCCATTGAGATTACATGGCTTGATTTTATTGATCCTATTAGAAGGCTGACAAGGGCAGATCTGTAGGGACTGGTAGGTGACCTAAAGTATGAGGTAGCTGACGTCCTGCATTAGGCAGGTGAGATTTGTGACCAACGGGAGCCAGGCATATGCTCCCTGAAAGTATTCAGACACATTTTTTAAAGAATTCTGTGCCAGACAAACAAAAACTAATGAGTCTGAAAAGCAGAAGAAGCGGGTAAGCACATTCATCAGTGGTATTCTTTTCTTTGTCTGAAAATGCACAAACACAAGTGTATTCTAGGCTGTAACTGGAATATTTGCCTAAATGATCGAAGAAATAATGTACAGAGATTAATGTAAGGAGAACCATTGATATGATCTTATAAGAAACATACAAGGAACTGTATTCCCCTATACGTGGGGCCTCTCTTGGGTTTTAACGGTGTTACTGCCACCTGGTTCAGGGTAATGAGACCCTGAGAGCTGGATTAAAAAGAGACTCTGGGTTTAGGTGCAAGCCTGGAGTTTGACTGGCCATGTGCCTTTCATCTAACATGGTTGTCAGTTAATATTACTACTTTTTTTTCTAATTATTAGTATAGGTGGTCACTGTCCCATTCATTGACTCACAGAAGCTCAGGGGTTTTCAGTATAAAAACGATCGAGTCCAACTCCTAGCCCATGCTGGAATCTGCCCTGGACGTCCCTGAAGGAGGGGACTTGCTTTTGCTTAAATATCGCCCGGGACACAGGATTCGGTCCTTCTTGAGGTGACCCACTTTATCATCATGTTCCCAAAGTTAGGAACACGGTGGAAATCACACCAAGCCATGTTACCCCTGCGCATCACTCTGGAAGATGCGACGTTCCCCGTGGTGTCGGAGCAGGTCAGGTTTTCTCTGGTTGAGCCTCAGATGAAGTGTGGTGACTTGCGCTCTGGGCTCTGCAGAATGCGATCCGTGAGTGCTGGCTTGTCTGGAGAAGGTGAAGGTGCGGGAGGTGCACTTTCCACCCATGCTCCCTTCAGGGCTGACTCTCATTGAGTCGGAAGTTGTCTCTGCAGAATGTTTAGTTCTCTCTCTCTCTCTCTCCCCGCCCCCCCCTCTCTCTTTCTCTCTCTTCCTTCAGCTCCTAGCACATATGTTTAAGTTCATGCAATTGAAACATGCAGCTTCAGCAGCCATCATTTAGTGGAAGAGGTGATGGAAGGCTTCAGAGTCACTTAAGAATGTAAAGTGAGTGCCCTAACCGGTTTGGCTCAGTGGATAGAGCGTTGGCCTGCAAACTGAAGTGTCCCGGGTTCGATTCCGGTCAAGGATATGTGCCTTGGTTGCGGGCACATACCCAGTGGGGGGTGTGCAGGAGGCAGCTGATCAATGTTTCTCTCTCATCGATGTTTCTGACTCTATCTCTCTCCCTTCTTCTCTGTAAAACAATCAATAAAATATATTTTTTAAAAAAAGAATGTAAAGTGAGGCCGAGGCCTTGAAGTAAACCGAGTGACGGCCTGGCCTCTGGGAGGGAGCACTCTGTCCCTGGAGTAATAAGGAGGCGAAGGGTCTAACACCGCAGCTGACATGCAGGTGCGTCATCAGAGAAGCTGGCTGAGCCTCGAATGAGGCTGCCAGGTGAGGGCTGTTGGTCAGACGTGAGGGCTCAGGGGACCCTGTGAGCTGAGGGGAGCCAGTGCGGCAGGTGCCTGGCTAGGGACCGGTGGTCTAACAGCGGAGCAGAGCCCTCAATAGGCTGGGCCTGGCGCTGCCTTCAGCAGGTTCTTTCCCATACAGGCTCCCAGGGGACCGCCCCTACCACCCGTTCACCCCGATACACATTGTGACAACTCCCAAAACCCGATCTCCAGCTCATGATCATCGTTTGAGCTTCAAGCCCAGCAGTCCACTGCCTTTTCCACTAGCTGTCCTAGAGACCATGCAAACCCCGGACTCGTGGGGGTTGGCCCTGAGCTCCCCGCACTAACCAGGGCTGACAGGACGTCGGCGGGGCCTGACCCTGGAGAACTTGAGAAGGCTCAGCCTCACAGAAAGACCAGGACCTGAGCTTGGCTGTGAGTTTAACCAGGGGTGGGCAAACTTTTTGACTTGAGGGCCACAATGGGTTCTTAAACTGGACCGGAGGGCCGGAACAAAAGCATGGATGGAGTGTTTGTGTGAACTAATATAAATTCAAAGTAAACATCATTACATAAAAGGGTACGGTCTTTTTTTTTTTTAGTTTTATTCATTTCAAACGGGCCGGATCCAGCCCGCGGGCTATAGTTTGCCCACGGCTGGTTTAACCACAGCGATTAGGGCGATTACAAAACCGTGGTATTGCAGCCTAGAGATGCCGTCTGCTCATCTGAATTGTCTTCCTGGAAGGGGCCGTGACTTCAGTGAGTGAGTGTCTCAGGAGCCTGTCCAGGGAGCACACACCCTCTACAAGCAAAGGCCTCAAGCGACTGCACTGGTTCGGAGCCTGGCGGGGAGCCTCCTTGGAAGCAGCTCCGAGGAGGGGCTGCATTTGGGTTCCAGGGCCCTGCCAGCTCGTGTGGGGAGGATGGCGGGGCTGGGAGCTCACCCGGGGTCTTCCGGTCCTTCTCTAGGATGTGTCTATAAAAGGCTTCTTTAGTCAGACAGCTTCGGGGGGGGGGAGTAACTAGGACTAGGTCATTGACTGTACCTGGAGGTCAGCAGAGAGCTCTGGGACCTTGGGCCCCTCAGGCTCCAGGTGGGAGTCCTGCTGCATTATCCCGGGCGCCCTGAGCTGGCTGCGAGCCCTGATGAAGGACTCTGCCTCTTCACCCGTTGGTCACCTGCCCAGACATCTGGTCTTGCTCTGCAGCGATACCACCATCCTTATTCACTCCCCAAGTCTCCAGGTCTTCCCTTCCATGAAATGGGCTGTGGGGTGGGGCTCTCACAGGCCCCTCGCTCACCTCACTGTTCCCCACACCCATAATCAAACTCCAGGCCACAGCTCCAGGGCAGCCTGCGGGTGTGAGGAAGGGCAGGAGGAAAGACAGCCGCTCCCTGACTTGTATGGCATGATGGCCAGCAAGCCGTCTCTGGACACTTGGGCCTCTTGCCCTGGCATTCCAGGCTGATGCCTCCCTGGCTCTCTTCAGGCCGAGCCCCTAGCTGAGCCCCAAATCAAAGCAGGAGAGCAAGCGGTTTGTTAGAAAGATGGGCGCAGTGTGGCGGCGGCAGTGGACAGTCCCTCACTGCTGTTGCTGATGGACATGTCCACAGAGCACTGCTGCTGCGGGGTGGGGAGGATGCTGGGCAACAGGCTGGCTTTCCCGTTCTTTAACAAACCTCCATGGCTTTCAGCACAATTTCTATACAATTAAGAAACCACATATTCTATACAATCCAGCCAAGTATCTTAAGGTTTAAAACCAATTTTCCCTTGAAGTGCTGAGTGATTTTTAAATAGTTTCCTTTTAAATGAATGCTCCTCTTTAGTCTGTTGCGTAGTCTCCTTATATACACAGGAATGAGTGTATATCTACACGAAGTGCACATTTACACGCGCCCTGCGGCTCTCACGAGCAGAAGTAAGCTCTCTGGACTGCAAAACTGAGGTTGAAGCAGACACTCGACTCTGCTGGGGAGGAAGACAACCCCATGGCAGTCGGGGGCTTGTAGCTGTCGGGAGGTGCCAGAGCCGATTTTAAGGGCAAGAGACCTCACACTCCACAATGTAACAAAGCCAGCCCATTGGTTTGCGGGTGGGGGAGGAGGCTGATGAACAAAGAAGCATGTATTTAGTGAAAAACTAGATCTGGGTGCATTGTTTTAGATTCTCCTACTCATTCCCCACCAGACCTTCGACAGACACTTTCTGAGCACCTTCTCTGCATGTGCAAAATGCTCTGCCGTCTGCAGGGGCTGCTCTTTGCAATGAACAGCATGTGTGCTGTCTCGGGCAGCCTCTAGGAGCTGCTTTTTCACTATGTGTCTGTGTCTTTGCTGCCAGACACTGTCCCAGCATTCATCTGCCTCTTGTGTCACACAAGGAGGAAATGTTCTTGTAGTGGCTGCCTCCCAACGGCCACCTCTTTATGCTCAGGAAAGGACCTGATATTCTCACAAAGTGCTTTACAGGTCACCTGCTCGAGTTGCACCCAACCCTCTGCTTTCTCCTTTTCTACCGAATTCCTCTGTTGAAGTAATACTTGCAGTCAGTGTAGTAACAGCATCTCCTACTTTCCGAGACCTTGTTTTGTAACAGGAACCATGGAGGGCTGTATCAGAATTATTTAACATAAGCATCCCAACATCCTATACGTTGCTTGATCTTCCCATTTTTGAGATGAGAAAACTGAGGTTCCAGAGGAGTTAATAAGTTTGACCAAGGTTTGACTGACTCCCATGTGAAGAGTTACTCCTGGAACTGGGTCATAGCTCTACTTTCAATGCTCTTCCCTTTAGCAGTTCCCCATGGTCTCCTGGGCTTGGTCAGGGGCTTCCCTGCACCCATAATGCTTTGTGCTGCCTCTACCATAGCACTCATTACCTGCATTGTGACATTTCCTGCTCACTATTCCCATTAAATTGGGGGCTCCTCCAGGGGTCATGCCTTACTCAGTTTACCTCATGGCCCCAGAGCAGCTTCTGGCAAGGACTGTTTGAACCCTGGCTGGCTTTCCTGTGATTTGCCATGATGAGAATCCTAAAAAGCAAGGGAAGATGGGGAGAGGCATCTCTGATCAATGCCAGAAGACACTGGGTTTCTGTTTTCTAGTCCTGAACTGGATGGTGCGGCAGCTGACACATGCCATCCACCTGAAGTCCCTTCTCCCTCCTCGGAGGAAGAAGTGAATTTTCCCATCAGCTGTGCGTCTGGAGACTGGCTGCCTGTGGGAAATGTTTGGAGGCAGATTCAGGGAGCTTCCCTTGAAGCAGTTCTGTTCTTGGGGTGCTCTCAGAGTCCTTGCCCCCAGAAGAGTCCCCTGATAGTGAGAGCGAATGGGAGGATGGAGAGGAGCTCACAGACCCAGGTGATGGCGCCCTCACGTGGGTATCACTTTAGGGAGATGGGGCTGGACCGAGTTCTCCCATGTGGCTCACTGTTTCAGCCACTCTGGCTGCCTGATGGCCTGTGGGCAGCAATGTGCTCCCACCACCGCCCCTCTGGTCACATGTCACCATGCAGGCGTTTTCACTGAGCACCTACCATGGTCCATGTTCACGACAACCACCCCAAAGGAAAAGGTTATTATTGTTTACATTTTACAAAGGACACACTGGGGACATTCCCAGCATCTTACAGTGAGTAAGTAACAGAGTGCCAGTGGCCCCCAGACTCCTAATCTATGCAGGACGATTCAATGCTACCCTGCTGCCTCGTGCTCGCTGGTGCGCTGCCTGTGATGTACTGGCTCCTGCTTCCTCAGTTCCTGCCTGCCTCTGGGTTCAGTATTGAAATTTTTAGAAAGCAAGTCTTGGTATCATGTAATGTTGTGCTGGGCTGCATATCTGGTGCTTCGGCCAGACAGGTCATGCTGTGCTGTCTGTTCCTAAAACACATAGATAGGAAGGTACTGATATCAGACCAGGTCTTGAGATATGGTCTCATGGCCCCTTCCAGCATGCAGGCCTTCTTTCTCAGAAGGCCTGGAAGTCTCATTCCAAATTTGGGAGACAAAGGACTGGAAAAAGTATAAATAGAGTTTTCTCCATATGAGAGGCCCAGAATTTGAAAGACACATTTTTCTCTGGGCCTCCACAGAATTTAATAATAAAATGTAACTCTTGTAGTCATCACTGCAGTTCAGCTTCTGCTTCAGCAGGGTGCTGTAACTGTAGTCACTGGCCAGCTTAATAAAGGCTCCTAAATTTAAATTCTGAGTCGGTGGTCTATTTCACTATGTGAACCCATAACATTTGGAGGCCCCCAACGAGATCCCCGGCAGGGGTGAGAGGGACCCCCTATTTAAGGCAGGAGGCTCTCCCCCATTTATCGCCGGCACGCAGCGAGATACCCCACATCCCTGTGGGGAACGACTACCAAGGAGGCTTCCAGTCTCTGTCCTGGATCCCAGGGAGGTGGAGGAGACTCCACCCAAAACTTTCAATTTGGAAACTGAGCCACCTGGACTCTGGAGAGAGGTAAGGAAGACTGGTCGTTAATCTGGAATTGGGACGTCCCACGGAAGGACACACACGGAGGGCTGGATGTAGCAGTACTCCTGGTCCTGACCCACGGCCACGACGGTGGCCAGGGTCCCTGGTTTGTGCCGTTTTAGGCTGCACCAGGTTTGTCTGTCTGGTGTTTGTCTGTCTGGTGTTTGTTGTCTTCGTACTTTGTTGTCTGGCTATACACATGAGAGTATTTGTTATCTCTGTCTGTTGTTTGTTTAAAGATAGGGCAAACCCTGCTTTAAGGGGAAGAAAGTAGAGAACTTTTAATTGCTTTTCCCTGAGGTATGATTTTGCTGTTAGGTTAAAATTTTAGAAGTCTAGGGTTAATTTAAAGATATAAGGTTGCAACCCAGAGAAGTTTAAACAAAGGCTTGTTAGGTTAAGATTAGTACATTTTCTCATGGCCTGTGTAGGGTGAGGGAGAGAGACTGCTGGCAATGTGGCCCTTCTTGTTGAGCCACTGTGGCTCAGCACAGCAAGCTCATTCTTGATCAAGAAAGCCACTAGAAGCTGGACTGGGTCACCAGGCTGGGGTTCGATCGTGCTGTTGAGGTCACAGGAGGAGGAAGAACAATGTGAGACTGGGAGTAGAGCGGGCTGACATCTTGACAGGCTGCTAACGCACCTTCCAGCTGTTAAAGTGCCTCCACATATGTAGTTCTAGTATTGAAAGAATGCTGAGTGTTCAAGAAAATTCCACATGGGCACACTCTCAGGGTGCACTGAGACGTGC